ACAACACGTGTTTACTTCAAGACGCCATCTTTAATAACCAACATGCATCTCGCACGTAACTAACTTGAAGCTAACACAACAACGCACAGGCCTAAAACTTGGAGAAGTGGCTTATTTAGTTATCTTCTATAACATCATTATTTCATAGCTTTTTCCACTGGATGGTTTTCGATTTATTTTTTATTGCGTGACAGTGAAAACGATCTATATCGGACCGGATAAAGAGTAACCTATCTGTCGCAACTGGAACTAACCAACAAACTACAGCCAATGAAATATAGCTGTTCCCACGGTTAATAAGGCGATTTAAACTCGTGTTCGTGAACATACAAAAGCAACTGAGAACTATAAGCCACAAGGTAGTCTTCAGGTGCTCAGACTTGTTCAGACTACAACGAAAACCAGGAGGTGCGCGAAAGTCTTTGCGCATTGACGTATGGCATGTGACGTCATTCAAAATGGCGACGAAAACATCTCAAAATAGGTCACCCTTGACACCACAGGACACCCAAGATTATGAACTTCGTTCTTCGAACGCAAAAATTAAAATAACGTTTGACACATTCTTAAGTGAGGTACATAAAGGTAGAAATCACGTCTATTTAAAGAATGCTCACCTTTAAACGTGTTAAATACCTGCTAGCTTAAGTGATGACTTGAACCTGCGGCATTTCTCCTGATACTCACAACGTGTTCTCCGTTGTACGTTTGCTGTGCCTGCGTGAGCAGGAAGAAAGATAATATGAATTGTTATTCACAAGTCAAGGCAAGAAAATCCAGAAAGTTTGTAGTTCTAAAATTGTAGGACTAGGAACGTGATGAAGTCTTCTTATGCTGCACACCTTAAAGCCCCACAAAAACAGATCAGGTGAAATATTCAACTTGTCCAAATCGGATGAAACGTTTTTATTCATTAAATCTAGCAGGTGGACAGCAGTCTCTACACTGACAGAGCGACAATGCTATTGTATCGTTATAATGAACTCCCACAAGTTTTTTAGGTCACCCAAACTACTCTTTGTATCAATTTATACTCTTTTGTCCCTGTGATGACCTGTTTAGGTACAAAGACTGTCTGAAAAAGTGAAAATTGAGGACAACTACTCACCAAAAGAGGTTGTTGTAAAAATAACAATTTATTCATAGCAAATCTATATACTCGAGCATGCCAACATCATTAATAAAACGGATCTGTACCTCGGGTAGTTCTGGTTTCTTTAAGCTCGAGGAGAACTCGTTTCGCTGCCTCTTGAATTGCCTGGTTACCACTTTTGCTTAAACGAGTCAGCTCTTCCATTGCGTTCGCAGTTTCTTTGATCTTTGCCTTTCCCTTAGAGGTCTTTGCAATAATCCACAGCGCGTTGGCAGCGCATTCTTTTTCAGTTGCACCGCCTTTAACGATGAGTGATATGAAAAGTGGAAGTGCATCTCTATCCAACATAGCCTCCATGTTCTTCTCGTTGACTACCAAGTTACTCAAGCCGTCTGCGATTTCATGACACGACCATGTGGCACCCTCTGAACTGAATTCTAGGTTTGACCGACCCAGTGTACTGCGCAACATGCCAATAAGGTAGCTTATTACCTGAAGTACAACAAGATGGGAAATTATGCTTTCGAAATGTGAATCATTCAAATAACATTTTAAGGGAACGGTTTTCCTGGGTGCACACTATCATTCTTTTGCGTCGGTACTACAAACCCACTAGGCGTACCTAATATAACTGTAGCTGTATCACAATTACAAGAAACAGGGAACAAAGAATCAGAAAATTGTAAACTTATACCAAAAAACATCACTGTTTGCCGCTTTGCAGCAAAAGACACACTACACTTTGACCACTTTGAGTGTTAAAAAAAAAAATTTTACCTTAACTTTATCATGACACCTCCAAATTCCCAAATTCTGATCACCCTGAGTGTATTAAACTTCGCTAGGAGAATACCACAAAACTCCTTCTAAAAGAAGCCAATTTCTGAGACTAACGTTTGTTTGTAGGACTCCCCTTTTAATTTACTTTGGTACTCATCAAAATACATACTCTACTCTCGGCTTCCAACAGCTTTTTCTCCTCCTCTGAAGTGATGTAGGCAAGTGTTAATATAGCTGGTACAACAATTTTCAAGTCATCAGCTTTGAGAAATGGAGCAATCCTTTCCTTTGCTCGCAGGTCACAGAGAATTGGACGGTTTTCCGAAGCTTTAGAGCAGTTGTGAAGTGTGTTGATAGCAGAAGACACAAGGTATTTTGTTCTCTGTTTTGAGAAAAAAGAAATGATTATGTGCCATCAATTTCACGTGATCAAATTAAACGAAATAAGTCTTTAACTTTTAAATGACCAAGTAGGTAGAAGCAAAGTATGGACACATAAAAATGCTTTAAGATTCTACATTACCTCGTTTTGAGAACTGCTTGTGCCACACGTGTCCAGATCGTTCAACATAATCATCAGCGCCCCACTTCGTGCCAAACCCCTGGCCATTTTTAAACTTACAAACGAGTAGTTCCAGAACACTCTGCGAACCACGTACATCCCCACCCAGCCATCTCGAGTCTCCATTCCGACATCCATCAGACGAAGAAGAAGCTTGGTCAGGTGATGTGGAGCACCAATCTCGGATAAGTGGTCACCGTACTTTTGTTGCAGTTTTCTGTCATCTATCTCCATCAAAGGCTCTAGAATATCTTTGGCGACTTTTCCTGTTATGGACAGCATATCGCCGAAGGAGCCTTCTTTCAGAATGCTTATGGTGTTGTTCATGCGCACCATAACTGACACAGAATCGACTTTCTCCTTATTACTGCTCTGAGTTTCCGCTGTGCCACCTTAAAGACATGTCGAGTAACATTTCAGAAGATTAGCACTATTGTTCTATTCACGTCATCTTTTGAATAACAATAGAGAGTTTAAGCATGGCGTTTACGGCAGACGGCAAATGGCAAAGATAACCTCTGATTTTTCATTCTTTTCTTCTAATCCTTAAATAAATCACACAAAAATAGAAAAGTGCCTCCTATTATTTACCGCAAATACAAATATTTTAACTCTACTGTACAGACAACTGAAGACAGACGGCAAAAGTTTTATTTTTGCCGTTTGCCGTTTGCCGTTTGACGTAAACGTCACGCTTAACCTCTCGAACATTTACAGAGGAAGCCACATTAGCCCTTTCTAGTTTTCATGCCGGTTCTGCATCCAGCTCGAAACGGAATTTGGAAATGATGGTCTTTAAAAGGGAGGAAAACCGGAGAACCCGGAAAAAAAGGCTCAGAACAAGGCGAGAACGAGCAACAAACTCAACCCACATAGGACACCAGGATGGGAATCGAGTTAAGGCCACACTTGGGGCCATCCCTGCACCCCGTTGACACATGCTTTGACAAAATGAACAAAACGAAGAAGCTCAGTTGCTTATGTATTTTGTAGCTGGAAAATAATTTGTTGATTTTCAGTTAAATGCGTACACTTGAGCTTCTTCTCCTTTAGCTAATTAGAGCACAAAATCTTAACTGATTCTTTCTTAAACTTAATGGTCTAATATGTCAAATTTGAAGTTTGACAGCTCTTTAATTTTCATTTTTTTTTTTTCATTTTTTTTCTTTTCAAGCAACTATAGGCGTGGAAAAACTCTGCCAGTAAGAACCTAGTAAATCATACTTTCAACAGCAAACTTGTGGTTACACTAAACTTGGCATTCAATTTCGTAGATATTCTCGGGAAACGCGATTTTGACCCCTGGCGTTTTCAGTGGTTCCTGATATGATCAGAACTTGTCCCATGATATTCTTTTCGACAACCTTTAACCAATGGTATACTTCACTGGGGATGAAATAATAAAACCCCATACCAGTTATAGTTACTTCTTCAGCCTGGCCAAATACATCCACGACGCCATAAAGTACTGACGGGATGGTTTTTATCTTTTTGCCAACATCTACGCCATTGATGAAAAAATGCAGAGAATTATCTGACATGCGCATTACTCCTACTCGGTCACCAACCTGTTAAAAGAAAGAAATGGCAGTGTTAAAAAGATACAAATAAAAGAAACGAATACAGAAGAACAATCTGCCCAGTAATGCAAAGGGAAATTGGCCCACGAGTTTTTCTTAAGCCTATATTTTAGGGGTTAAGTGTTAAATCAATAGTAATAAAAAACACTAAAATTGCAGGAAGGATTCATTTTGAACTGAGAACTTCGGTCCTCGTCGTTATGAAGACTGCATTTCTTCGGTCGAAAGTCGTTTTACTGTTTTAACAAAACGTTTATTTCAACGTTTTATAAGGTTACTGTAGACCCTCAGGGGTGCCTTCCGGGAAAATCTTTCTCTGCGCGCTGCTTTAGAGAAAACCTCGGTAAACTATATGTCATTGTAAAGCTAATAGACTGTAAAATTTGGCAATAACAATATATTTTGCCAGTTTTGTTTTGGTAGGGGGGCGCAAGCCTTTAGACGCACAAATGACCGTACCTGCTAAACTGAGTTACCAGCCGTTGTGATACCGCGGACATCCAAACTGACTGGACTATATCACTTAGGAGATGATGGGCTAACAAAGTGTGTGAGGCTTTTCCGATCTTTTTATTGGTTGCGTAGAAAATCCCTTTTAAAGTTGGACAATAGATTTTCTGACTGCTGTTACTCAATTAAGGGGACGTCACAAGAAAAATATTTCGATTTTCGTAAAAGCCTCACATACTTTGGTGCGCTAATATCGATCTGACGAACATTTTGGCCAAGTTGCGTTAAAATCTGATAAATCTAAAAACACTGTTAATTCATTTGAGTAATTAACCTCGAGTTTTCGGCTTCGATAGAAATTTTCAGTTTCGCGCATGCCGCCAACCGATGAAACGCAACATAGACCTCCCCAGCGAGTTTCGTGACAAAGAAGGCTACAGAAACGCTTTCCAGGAAAGGTGCATTGTTTATATTTATAGTAAATATAACATTTGGGAGGGCAAAGTCTGCCGTGAAACATTCAGCAGCTAATAAAACATCGAATCAGCAGATAAACTGAAAAGAAGGAAAAGCGGAAAAGAGAAACGATAGCGGAATAGCCTTTGAATAGGCCTACTCCGCGAGCCAAGCCGATTGCTGAGATTTGACTTATACACAGACATTAAAACTAAACGTGTGATTCACCGGCCTGTTTGTTGTACTAGAATATGGAAAAGCTCTCTTCGAAGCAGAGAATAGGAGCATCTGCATGAAAAGGCTGCCATGTCAGACATCAGCGATTAAATCCGCGGCATTCTCCTTATGTGCCAGAAGAGGGTAACGACGAAATTTTCTTCGATTTGCGCTTGCGTTCAAAATTGGTAACGCAAAGACCGTACAAAATCGCCTTATAATATATCGTTTACATATAAGAGACAGATGCAGTCAACAAAAGCGTAGATATCTGTGTGGGAATTACAAGGCGCAAGGGGTTAACAGGAGAAGCAAAATATAAGTCTCTGGATGAGATTGCCGCGAAAATTGTTATGCTCAACTCAGTGGTTGGCACATTCTAATTGGCTTACCACAGTTTGCGGATCGCTGACCTGTTTTTAAAAATCACGTTTTTGTGGATAACTCATTCACGTTTTGAGTTGTTAAAGTAATTTTTTTAATAAAATTTAGAGCAAGTATTAGTTTTGATTTTGGCGTGAAACAAAATCGGCCCTGAGCGTCTACCATAACCTTAACCTATGTCAAACCCTTTTTTGTATATCATGAATCCTGCCTGCATTTTTAGTAGTTTTGATTGCAATTGATTGAACAAATTTTTATATCATGGCAATCAAACTTATATGGCGTGTAAAGCATCCGAAATTGGTCACTGAAATGATAGTCACGTGTCAATCATGACGTCACATCATGCTACAACGTCGTCACACATGTTAAAATGTCCGAGATTTTAGATTTCAAAACATTTTCAGAACAGTTCCCGTTCCAAGCAATTTACCCTCCTCATCAGATCTAGATAAGAGGATTATTTCTTATTTAAAATCTGGTTCATTCAATTTGTAGAAAACAGAGTCACAGATTCTTCCCGAGAAAACTTGCAACAAGTTGTCCTGTAATAAGAATAAAGAGCAAAGCACTTTGACCACGTTGTTGTCAAATCATGATTCTCTTGGTACAATTCTGGGTCAAAAATATTTTCTTGAGAGTATAACATACCGACAAACTGTCCAGGTCTTTTGATATTGTTGTCATCTCTTCCCCATTGTGAACGATTTTATCACTACTGAGTACAAAAGTCGTTCCTTGTGCCATGGAGGTTATTGTCGAAGGGAGCTCCACGTTTTCTGGAGAAACAGTCGTGGCTCCAATATCTAGACTGCCATACCACTTTGATACTTTGCTATCCAAACGAACTTCAAATAGCTCATCAACTTGCAGAGGCTGGCTTGTTAAAAGCACCCCGTGATTGAAATGCTGTAGAGCGCTGCAAGTGAATGACACTGATGAGGCCAAACGTGTAGCATAAAAATTAGCAATACTTGTACTTCTAAGGTAACTCTAAATATGAATTATTCTTGGGTGGCTGAAACACCTGTATTTGTGTTTATTAAGGCTCTAAGGATATGGCGGTACATCAGGTTTAGCGGAACAATGGCTCCTAGATATGGATTTTGATCGTGACACTTTCATGTGGGTCTGCCATATTTTCAATATTTCCTTACTCGATTCTCTTTGCTTTCTTCCCGTCAAGCATCACTGTTATGTTTTCCCCACAACTGTGATGAAACGTGTAACATTCCGAGGCATTTACTGGGCCGCTAGAGGCATTTGGGGCCTGGGGCGGCGATCGGAGTCCAACTGATTGTGGTGGGGTCTCGACTGTGGGAGATGACGGCGATGACGGTACTTTCTCGTTTGCTGCTTGTAACTTGGCTAGAAAGTTGTCTTTGCGGAACAATAGAAAAGATGGAATTGTTAGTGCAGAGTGAAAATAAAAAGCATATAAACGAACCCGAAGTACCCGAAGAGAGGGTGATTAGAGTTACTAATAGCGCTCCTGGCAGATTTCTGAAAGTCAGGCTATAGACGGCGTTTCTTTGAAACTTTATTTTCTCAAAAGTGTGCGTTATGGACTGTAATCCAGTTGTCTAGTTTCTTCGCTTAAGTGCTATATATATTCAACAAATTCTCTTGTCTCCCTTGATAAAATGCTAGACAGCAACACCTTGGAAAAACTCAGTCTTATTATCTGACAATGCAGATAATGAAGAGATTCCCTTGCGCCGCAAAAGCTCTCTTCGGAAAAGGGGAAAAAGATGAAAAAAGAAAAAAGTTACTGAAAACTTGCGTTGATGTCTTATCTGACTTACCTCCTCGTCCCAGATACTTCATTTTAATGTCACAATTCCCATACACCGCACTAGCGCATGGGCACAAAGGCTCCAGAGGATGACGGGGCAAATTACGAAACGCCACTCCGAGGTGAGTGTCTTCTGTGGCAAAGCTACGTAAACAAATAAGTAACACCAAACCAAAACAAGTTACACCAATTCAACAAAAAACAACGATGATAACTAAAGGTTAGCCAGCTGAGACTGATATATCCATAAATTGCTACACTCTGCTAACGAAAGGCAGAAAGGGTAAGTGCAAAAGGAAAGGGTACAACAATAATTCGAAGGTTGATATCGGGAGGAGAAGTGCACGAGCAAATTTAATGAAAGCGTTAGAAACAAAAGAAAAGAGGATATCCAAAAAATAATTTACAATTAAAAGACCAAATCTTTAAAGATGTTTACGAGTTAACAGAGAAAAGAGTAGAGAATAACGAGTAAAGGGAAAACGAGTAAAGAATTAAAAAGATAGTTTATGGTTGCAGATAAGAATCTTCAAAGATAGTTAAGCAAAAAGCAGCATTTAATTTCGAGTGACCTTACTCGTGATAAACAAATCGGACTCCCGCTGCGCGGTCGTCCGATTTTGTTATCACTCTTATGATAACAGACCGAATTGGACTCCACTTAGTCCTATTACCATTACTTATTACACGAGTTGACTACTTACCTAAGAGTACGATTGTCCATGTCCAGTATACAATACACGGTATCTGGAACGAAGAATCCAGGATTATTTGCTGGGTACGGGGACTCTTCCCCAGAATGAAAGGACACCTTCTTGCTCAGATTCCAGCCCCACGACTCTGAATTAGATCCTATCAGTGAAATGTAACCGAGCGACTGGAGCGGGGCCTGGGGAAGGGTGATTCCAATGACTGCGTGGAAACCGCGCTCGTCTCGTTCCCAGGTTATCTCCCACACATGTCGGCCTTGTCTGTATCCTTTCTTTCCTGTTCAGGGTACAAAATAATTTAACATTGATTTGTATAATTTACCGCCATATTGTTGCGAAAATACATATGGGTTATTCACCAAGCGTGAGGTCTAGATGGCTGGATATCGGCCATGTTCTCTTTTTGCGTGTTTATGGAACGAAGTCCATAAACGAACATAAAAGAACCAGGCCAATATCCAGCCGCCTTGACCGAACGAGCTTGATCCCTGATAAAGGATTTATTACATGGGATGAAACACCAAACTAGTGACACAATTTCAATTAGTGCAAAGAACGACTGATAGCTCTGGCGCAGTAGTCAGACAGGTCCCAGAGCCCCTGCCCGGTTCACTCTCGGGTTGTATTTTCCCCTTGCAGAATATGATCGGACAGAAGAAACCTTGATAATTCATAATCTAGCAGTGTACTTGCTTCATGATTGTATTTTCACTCAAGGTACAAAATAACTTACAATTACTGTTTGTCACGACAGCCTTTAAATTTTACTCAAGTGTTTTTACATTGAATTTCGTTCATTTCAAATTCAATATAAATACGTTGAAGAAGGAAATGTGACAATTTAGCTTTTCACGCCAACTTTGTAACTTGATACTTTCGATTTCCTCACAAAGGTAAGTAAAGTGAAACCATTGCTTTCTCCATCAGCAGATGATATTTGTTGAACCAACCAAGGGGTGGTTCCAAAAGACACGTAGTCACAGCAGCGTTTTTACACTAAAAGGGATAGGTGTCGCTACCAGAAAAACAACTGTCGTCCTCGATCACTTCACTTGGCAAAAATCGCGTGCCTCTGGGCAAGAAAACGGAATGTGTGACCCTAACGATGCAAGAACGCATGCGTCTTACATGTTGGGTTCTACAACAAGGGAAAGCACTTAACGTTTGTGTGTGATCCCTTATGAAATGTATCGTCGGCCCAATGTATAGTCGACACGAAAGCTAACTAATCTGTGCATGAGTTTAGAACAAATTAATTTTGTTCTAAAGAGACCCGTACCACAGGGAAAGCAAGTGCTTTCCTGAAACAAATATTTAGTTTTGATGTTTATTAGTGAATTGAGGTAGGCATAACAAGTGTTACGTAATGCACACAGGTACTTATCCCACCCGAACCCTTTCCTGCAATGCTAATTAATTAATTGAAATTAATTAATTAAACAAACATTAAAGTTTGCAATTTAGCGCCATAGCGCCATAGTGCCATAGTGCCTTATTGCCTTAGCGGAAAGCAGCCCCCAAAAGCATCCCAACAGTGCACTCTGCACTAAAAATGATCTTTGTACTTGTTCATCTTCAAGAGCTGAAAGGGAAGCCAGTTGCATGCAAAACTCAATGGAGTGTGCACCTTTATCCTGATTGGATGAATGCAGAAATACAATGATTGGTTTACATTTTCGACGAGTAAATATCTAACTTCTGAATGGGATTAACAAAATGTATGAAAGCGCTCGAAGCAAATTTGAAAAGCTTTCTGAACCTCAAAAATGTTTCAAAATGGCTTCAATTTTCAGCACTTAAGTTCTAAAGAAGGTTTAACCATAAGAGTAAGACGTGTTCATGCCATCTGGCCATCGCTTTGTCCCATCCTTGAGCGCTTGGAAAAATTATTACTTGTCTCTATGGCGCTGCTAGGCTGTCGTATGCACCAGACTCAAAAAGCTTGTCTACCTCGGCCTCTATCAGCTCACGGGCGACTTGTGGTCTGTTCTCTCTGCCATGCTCTACAACACGTTGTCGGCGTCTGGCACTTAAAACTTCTTTTGAGAGTTTAAAGTTGTCTCCCTCAATAATATTCCCATTTGAACCTCTTTCGTTCAGGCTCGTACTCTGTGCCGTCTAATTTCTCTACGAGTTTATAAAAATTTGCACAACAGCAAATTTAGTTCTTCCTCTGGTATGTCACACAGTTCCCTATTCTTGTTTCTTGGAAATAAAACCGCTTCCATGCCTTCAAGTTACTTTGTGTTTTTACTTAAACACGAAGCCACACTTTAAAAGGGCATAAGCTCCTCCCACTAATTTTGAATTCACCCAAAAAATGCTTGCTTCACACTCTGACACTATTTTACAATACTCACTGGGATCGGACTTGACATTACAAATATAGTTAAACCATGCTATTTCGAACTCGCAGGGGAAACGAAAAATTGTTCGACATAGTAGGGGTTCGAAATAGCCGATAGTAAATATCTGAAGAGGGAATTCGAGGGAAGTAGTTTTGAGTTCGAAATGAGGGGGAATTCGAAAAAAGCAAGTTCGAATTAGCTGGGTCCAACTGCCAAACAATTATTCACATAGACATTGCGAACGGTAGAATAATATCAGTTGTTATCAAATTTTCAGCCTCCGATATTGCGTTCCTAGCGTGCTGATTGGCTAACTCAATCTCGGTTACCAGCCATTATACCTGTGTTTGACCTTACATGGAAACTGACTGCGCCAAATGACGCCAAGCTCAACAATTTGTTCGGGAAGCAAAATTTCCCGAGGACGAATTGTCGGACGAAAGTCGATTTTGCGAGCTTTGTACCGAAAAAATACAGGAACTAATGGAAAATACTATACCTACAATGACGAAGAAAGCTACAAACTTTGGTATGAGGTTATTTAATGGTACGTATCTCAACTCTTCCGTGCATCAAAATATGAGGCACTGATAATCGTTACATAACAACAACAACAACAAAGTTTGCCTTTAAAATGTTCAGAATGGCTTGTAAGATCTTGTTCGATTAAGCTTTCGGCGAAGTCAATTGAAGAAATGAGCTTCGACGAGCTTAATGTGACCTTAAGAATTTACACGTGCGCGAGGAGAAAGGACGGAAGTTTCTACGAAAGCACTTCAATTAAGTAGATAAGACCACAATAAGACCTTTTCAACAATCGCTGATCCTGCTTATACTGATCAAGCAAATAAATTTGTAACACACTTCAGGAAGACAGGTAATATTGCCGGTGTAGTCCATAAGAAACCAATTTCCAACGAGCAGATTAAGAAATTGTACGACAGCGGCGAGCTTGGACCGGCCAAGAGCAAAAATCCCGCACAGCTACAGAGGAAGATCTAGTCTTACCTCGGTAGGCTTTTTTGGCCGAAGAGGACGAGAGAATCAACGCAAGCTAACGCCAACAATTCTGTCACTGCAAAAAACCCCACAAGGAGTTGTGTACTTTGAGCTAAACCGAAGTCGGCACGGTTCTTTACCAGCCACGAAAAACCATCAGGGTGACCTCGAAATTCTGAAGATAGTTTCTGTCCCTGGCTCTGAAACTGGCCAGCAAACAGCTCCGCACATCCAGTTCGAAAGGCCAGGGCAGTTGCGGCAAGGGAAAGCTGAAAGAGTTCTTGTCAAGAGCAATTTTAGCACAACGTCTGTGTCACAAGGCGATCAAAGTTTTCCGCAGTATTTTTACCACTGCAATGCACAAGTGCGCAATTATTACTCTTCTCGATGGATCAAACTTGAACGCTTTTCAAACTCTCTGACGAGGGTTGTATCTCCTTGATTTGGTAGACGTTCCTTGAATTCTACATGATTGTAATTTTCGTTCAGCAGACTCGCTTGCTTCGCTTTCAATTCAAATTTTTCATTTAACAAAGTTTGCAAACAACGCGCAATTCATGTGATTTCCCACTTGTTGTTATTTTTGCCACATCAACCTCCGGTCGTTTTGTAAAATTAAAACCCAATAAAATACAGCTGCAATTTTCAAGTATATAAGTGTACATAATTTAATAATAAAATTTAATAAAACAATTATTCCATTCGCGCTTGTTGGATATGAGATTGGTTATAGCCAACTCGGCTCTAGGGGCCTCGTTGGCTATTTACCATCTCATATCCAACGCGCGCTCACGGAATAATTGTTAAATAATCCCCTTGTAAACAAGATTCCCTGAAATAGAGACAAGTAGAGACAGCAAAGACACTTCAATTCACTTACTGCTTACATTTCGTGTGTTCAAATCACCCGCCATTTTGAATTTTCCAACCTAAATCCAGCCTACGTTTGCGGTTTCGTTGTGCAGCCTTCTACTGCCCTGTAAGTCTATGACACCCTCAGATTTTTCCCACGTGGGTTCTTATTTCGACTTAATTGCGTTACGAATATATTGACGAGAAACTTGACAGGGTTACTCTTTCTGAAAGTGAAGCCTGGCGATGATTGACGAACACATACATGTTAATCTAACCAATATTTTACTACAACGCTTAAAAAAATGCTTTTACGTCTGGTCTCAACTGGCTAAGAGTAAAGTGACCGAGTGAACAACATGGGTGTAAGCTCTCCAACAATCTGAAAAACTAAGGAAATCATCAGAAAAATATTAAACGTAAACAGTAGGGAGTAGCAACGTCACGACTGTGTCAATTTCAGTGGGATGCACTCTGTATATTGCCATGGTTACATGTTAGTTTAGTACCTCTTATGCCGTCTGTAGTAAAAGGTGAAGGAAGTCTTCTGGCAGTCAATCTGTCGCTCAAGACTTTAAACATAGGCGAACAATCCTCGGGATCCCACGCATGCTCAATCTGTTCAGATGAGACGCTGGACTCCTCAGTTATTTCAAGGAGTTCGTCCAGAATAGAACGCTCAAATAAAGCTGCCTCCATCCGTCTATGCTGGAGAGGAATAGAATGCTCGGCACCCATTTCTAAAGAGCAAAATATAGCACTGCTATTACGGAGGCAATCAACAGATTTCACAGGGCCTCACAGAATACCACTTTTTAGTGAAGTGAGCCCCTTGTATAAAGACCATTATTATTATTATTATTATTATTATTATTATTATTATTATTATTTCTGTTTTCTTAATTTTTTCTTTTTTTCTTCTTCTCCTTTTTGTCCCATTAGATTTTTCCATTATTTCTAATATTTCTATTATTTTTCTAATTTTTTCTATTATTATTATTATTACTATTATTATTATTATCATATTAAACAAACTTAATATGACAACAAGATATTCGATGATGATGGAAATTGTTACCTTTATTTTTAATTTTTTAAATATTTCAAGGTATGTTATAGTTCCAGATATCAACCTCTCTATTCTCTCTATTTTAGCAGCGAGTTGGGCAGACAGAAGCTAAACCAGCTAGTCAAGTACAAGTCATTCTGGGTTGTCGTGCTAATGTTATCCATGGCTGCCAGTCCGTTACCCCTGTTATTATAGACAGATGGGAAGCCGAAACATTGATTAACATAACTTCACATATCTTCCCTGTTTGCCAGAGATTTATCCTTAGGGATTTCATTTGATCACTTGTCTCACGTCACCGCGACTACCTCCCAGTGAATATAACTAATGGGCAAGACTGGCCAAGACTGAGACGAATTTCTACCAACAATGAACTGAAAATTCGAATTCTACACGAGGTGACTTTTGTAAATTTCCGGTTTTCCTAGAAAGCCGTAATAGAAAACTTTCGTGAAATTGATGACATTTTTTAGGTACTCTTAGTGATCTACTACGTGGAGAAAACTTAATTTAAATTTCAGTCTACGCTCCTTTCTAGCGTAACCAACTAATTCTTACAAAAGTCTTCTCAAAGTTTGACGTTTCAATGCTATCTTTTGCCGTCAATGTTTCATTTTCTATTTCTATCGGAAAATTGGCGCTATGAAATGAATTATTCAATCCAACGACAAATCATTTTAACTTTGTATTAAAAACTTTGATTGTTTGTAAAGAAATGCAAAAGGAACGTACTTATTCATTAAGTGGGCTTATATCCGCTTTTCCTAGAAAGTCGCAATAGAAACATTCTGTGAAATTGATGACATGCATTTTTTATGTACTCTTTTAGCGATCTACTATGTGGAGAAAACTTAACATATCCCTCGCTTCTTAAGGTTATAATAATAAAGTAATAAAGTGATCACACCAAAATTACGAATGTTATGTAGCATAAGCCGTCACTTCAGCGTGNTACTATGTGGAGAAAACTTAACATATCCCTCGCTTCTTAAGGTTATAATAATAAAGTAATAAAGTGATCACACCAAAATTACGAATGTTATGTAGCATAAGCCGTCACTTCAGCGTGAATAAGCGGTCAGTCTCAATGGGAACAGCCACCAGGCTGAAACTGGGCCCCGAAGTCATGCATGTCGACTACTGTTGTACCGAAAGTTAAATTATAAGAGACACATTTCAACTATCCCTCGGCATTGAAATAAACCAAATTGTTTAAAAGGGCTTACTCTCCATATCAAAGATTGCTATATTCATATATCCTTTGACCATCCTGGTGGTTTTGGCTTCGAAAGCGAAATAAATTATGTATCACTTAGACAGTTTAACGATGAAAATAAACGGACCTGACAACTAAGTTCTACCGCTTAAGTGTGATATCCAAATTGGTGTAGATCTCTTATGTAATTCCATGACCGAGAGCTAATGACAGCCGTAAATAGGCCAACCTGAGCGCTATTTCGGCAAACCTGAGTGATATTTTGATAGGTATAAATATAGGCATTAGTCTGCAGTCTGCAAATATAACACGCCAAATCCAAACTGATTTCATCCTACTAAACTGTTTCCCATTGTCACACTTACCTATTTTAAGGTCTTTCAGCCTTAACTTTCTGTTTTGAGGCGATGAACATCAAAGCGAAACCCGTCTTGTTGATTACGAGTGTAATATACTTCCCAACTCAAATACGTTTTCCGATTGGAGGAAAACGTGTCACGTATCGTGGGTCAGAACTCACTTACTCCCTTAAGAAACAACAACATGCATGAACTTTCGACTCGCACGTGATCAGGGCGTGCTCCTTGAAACTGCGGCAAGCTGGCGTAAAGCAAACGATTTCTTTGCAGTTTTTTTTCTACTTTTGAGTTGGGAGGTACAACAAAACACTTAATGACTGGTGGCCCCGCGGGAAACAATGAGTTTTGTTTCCCCTCGACATCAGAGTTCCCCTCGGCGTCGCCTCGCGCTCGGGGAACACTAAGGGTCTCGAGGAAACAGTCATTAAGTGCTTATTGTACCCCGATCCAGGCCTTTGCAACATAATTTTTCAGCTAAGGCATGGAAATCAACTGCAAAGTGAAAGTGCCTCATCCAAAGAGCGTTAAATCACCCAAGAAAGAAATGGAAACACCGAGAGAATATAAAATACTTGAGAATGATAAGTTGAGTTTGCCTACGGACATGACGTGGACGTAGTCAGTAACACCGTGAGCGACTTTCCAGGTGTATAAATTTCGGTCTACGCTCCTTTCTAGCTGATAGTTTCAGCGTAACCAACTAATACTTACAAAAGCCTTCGCAAAGTTTGACGTTTCAATGCTGTGTTTTGCCGTC